AATTATTGAAATTTTCATTGTTTTGGCTGTAACTGGCTGTAACTTTGCTATTATTGAAGGGATCAACTTCATATTATAACAGAACATTCTCAAGGGCAAGACCTTGTTGTTTATCAAACCCGATTTGACTTGGGCTCTTTAATGACCTTGTCCTTGAAGGTTAAATTACTGAATTTTCTCAGATTTGTGCATTAAATGACCAAACATATTTATTGGTGTGTGTATATATTCATGTGTCATGTATCATATATCATGTCATATATATCATATCATGTCATATATCATGCCATATCATATATCATGTCAAAAAGCATGTCATATCATATCATATATCAGATATCATGCCACATATGATATATCATATCAGATATCATGCCACATATGATATATCATATAATATATCTGTATCATGTCATATCCTATATCATGTCATATATCATATATATGCCATACATCATACCATATATCAGATATCATGTCACATATGATATATCATGTCATATTTCATGCCACATATCAAATCATATAATGACATGTATCATATGTCATGTCATATATCATATCATGTCATATCCTATATCATGCCATGTATCTTATATCATGTCATATAACATATCATGTCATATCATATATCATGTTATATGTCATGTCATATATCATATATCATGTCGTGTCATATAGCTTATATCATTTAATATATCATATCATACATCATGCTATGTATCATATATCATGTCATATATCATACTCTATATCATGTCATATATCATGCCATGTATCATATATCATGTCATATATCATACTCTATATCATGTCATATATCAGATATCATGTCATATATCATATCATATATCATATATTATGTCATATATCATATATTGTATGTATATATATATATATATATATATATATATATATATATATATATATATATATATATATATATATATATATATATATATATATATATATATATATATATATATATATATATATATATATATATATATATATATATCAATGAGTATATCTATATATGCAAATTATATAGACAAAAATAACAAGACAGACCGATTAAATTTGTGAAAAGGAAACGTTTAGATTTGTTCAAACATTTCTTTGTTTGCTTTTAGAAAAAGTAAAAAGTCGAGCGTTGCCTCCGCCCGGCGGTGGCTCTTGTTATAATTTACTGATGTTAGTAGATACTTGAGATGATCATACAATTTAAGACACCAGTGCTAAAGATTTACTTACACGGGACTTATTCATTGACTAGTTATCTTGGCTGTTGCTATAACTTTGGGTAGAGAAGTGGTCCTTTTGGGTCAAGGTTACAAGACTGATAAAAATCCAAAACAGTTTTGTCCAGGCAGCCGAGGTCTTGAATATTTGGTTGGTAGATACCTCGGCTTATCCATAGAGTATGGAATTGCTGGGGTACCAGTCAATAAATGTTTTGACATTTGTTAATACAGTGTGCACTGAATATTTTGACAAATGTTCAGGTTCGGAAAATTTAAATTGCGTTCATAATCTCCATATATTTAATTATCCACATAACTAATATCAACCTATATGTTAGTTACACTGTGAATTATGGAAGGATCCAGATTTATTCAGTTTTCATTTAAATAAATATGTTACCATAGAAACAACAGTGAAAAAAGAAATCAAATAATGTGCATTATACACCTCAGTATGTTCTCTATCAACAAATTAAGTTACTTGAGTCTAACTTCTGTACTTAGTTAGCTATTGCAGGACCTTGATTTCTTCTGACGTACGAGAAGATAAAAGGAACCTTCAATGAAACTTGTTAAAGGCATGATTATGCCTCAGAAATGAACAAATATTTACTTCTTTAGAAATGTCATTGTAACATTTTATAATATTTAAGTAATGGTTTTAGAGAATGTTAAATGCTTGCTAATTAAAGGAAATAGGACTAAATGTAAAAGTTAACGTTATAAAGTAGCAAAATGTAAGCAAAGTAACATTTTGACTTCCATATTTTTTTTTTGTTTGTTTCATTTTACGCCTTTTTCCAACAGTATTTCAGTCATATAGGCGGGTAGTTTCCTAACCATCGCCCTGGAGAGTTACACCAGTACTAGACTACCTTCCTCCGCGCTAAACTACCAAAGCATCTCCCGGGGATCGAACCCTCGCCAGAGAGGTAACTGGATTAGAAGTCATCGACTCTAACCCCTCGACCACGGAGGCGGTCTTGACTTCCATACGATTTTTTTTTGACTTCCATACAAAATACTAAATCACTAGAAATTTACTAATTGTCGAAAAGCATTAAAAGGTTAAAACAGTTATGGTAATTGGCCAGTAAGTAGCTTGTTGCTTGTTGGAAAATATAAAAGAATACCAACAATAAAAATATTTTGAGATGAAAATGAAAGCATCTCTAAGGCATAATGGACCTTTAAGGATAAGAAGAGGTCATTATTCTTCAATGCAAGTTATAAAAGTATTTGGCGTGATTTAAAGGTTCAAAAGGCAAAACTGTCAAATATCTAAGTTCTGGCCGTAGTAAATTCCTACAAGGAAACTTGACTTTTCCTCAAATGACCAACAGATCCTTCATTATGGATAATAGATCATCGGCATTGCAGTTTATGAAGAGAAAGTCCTATGTAACTTATAAACTCCTAATTACGCTTTTTTATCTCCTGCGTATGAGTTTTTTTTTTATAGAACATATTAAATTGTCACCAAGGCGCCCGTACTGTCCTTCACTTTAACACCTGTTTAAATGACTTCTTCTGTTCAGTGTCTTTTGTATAAATGCCAATTGCATGATTTTTTCCTCACCATTTTTTTTTGTCATCACTTCTATGAAATGTGTCAATATTATAACAACAGCTTAGTGTTAGACATTGACACCTGCTGATTATGTTTATGTTTTAGGTATATTTGCATGATTTATTTATCCCCTTAACGGAAAGGGGATTATAGGAATGGCCTCCGTCTGTCAGTCCGTCTGTCTGTCCGTCTGTCAGTTCCATAACTTAAATCGCTGATAACCATAATGGGACGACGTGCAGAACGCAATGATTGGATTGCTATCCAAAAGGTCAAGCTAACACTTTAAGGTCAAATTTTAAAAAGTCTGCTCCATAACTTTCTAACCACCGAAATTTAAAAAAAAATGACTAAATACAATTGATCACCATCATAAGAACATATGCAGAGCGCACTAATTGAGTTGCTTTACCCCAAGGTCAAGGTCACACTTAAAGGTCAAATTTATAAAAAGTCTACATTTAATGTCCCCTCCATAAATTTTAAATGCCCCAGGGTCAATGTTATATGTTGTCCATAATTTTTTAACTTTACGGAAGATTTTAAATACTTTAACACAAATAATCACCATCGTGAGACTATGTGCTTATGATATACATGACACAACTTCAACGTCATGTTTGGTAAAAGGACAAGAAGTACATATTCATGTTCACTGCGGAAGGGGATTTAGCTGTCCTTCAGACTGCCTTGTAGACATTAAAAAAAATCGAATTGACAGTCCTTTTCTGTCGACATTTAAGTTTTTACACGGGGCCGTACGTGGCTAAGTAATAGAAACAATGCAGAGTCCATTGATGCTAATGGGGTAAATATCTGGTATTTTTCAAATGGGGTATGTGTTCCCCTGTACGGGACAAATAAACAAGCTCGGCCGTTAACCATTTTTGGAATTTTCATGAGGCCAAACGTGGCTACCTGCAAGAGGCAATATACTGTCATCTCAGTTTTTACACGGAACCATACTATGTCGACAGACAATGTACAGTCCATTTTGCATACATTTAAAACTCAAAGTTTATATTGATATGGTGACATTAATTAATATAGTCCAAGATGTTAGCCAATATCAATATTTTCAATGGGATATAAGAAGCAATAATAATTATGCCTCGACAACCATTCAAAAATTCACACGAGGTTATTTGTCGCTATGGTCACTTACTATCTATAATGATTTTTAAAGATTTTGTTCAATTTGGCTTCTACAATATTTCTAAACATACCGAGGAAGAAAATACACATACAAATTTAGTGTCCTTGTATCTAGCGATTGATAGACCATAGAGAGTCCCGTTCAGGATATCCTAGGACTAAAAACACGAGAAGAATTAAGTTCAGACGCGATATTTAGCGTCCTATAAAGGGCGAAATTTAGTACTAAATTTCGCATGTATTAAATTTCTCTAGTCTCTCATACGATAATTAGCGCCCTTCAGCGCGATATTTATCGCCTGATGAACACACAACATACGAAAATTAAGACGATAATTATCGAGGCGAAATTGTTAATTTTCGCTAGTATAAGTGTTTCTGGTCTATAGAAAGGGCGATAATTATTGCGTGAGAGACTAGCGAAATTTAAGACATGCGATATTTAATACTATATTTCGTCCTTTAGATGCGATAATTATCGCGTGTTAACTAGCGAAATATTGTGGACGAAATAGGATTCCGTACAAAAGCCTTTAAATATAAAATTTGAATTTACAACGTAGATAAACTTGGGCACTTAAAACGAAAAAGATATGCAAAAAAAGTGATAAAGAAATACGCGCGCAGAATTAAATTATACACCCAATTTGAATTTAAATGCTGAAACGACTTTCATTATTTTTTTTTCACAATTCAATCATTATTCAGGGAAAATACTGATCTGTAATTTTGCACAAAGGTTGTTTGTTTACACCTACATCAAATGGTACATAAATATTGAAAAAAAATATTTTCGAAAAAAATATTTTCAGTCCCGTCATGCCAAACCACAGTTGAATAACATTCACAACGTTTTCATCAAGCTGAATTATCATCTATATCATCAAACAATTATCATTTTATTATCTATACATTTATCGTTTATACCCGACAACTTATCTAATCGAAACAAAGGTCCAGTTCTCGGTCATGCACGTGCACGTTTTATCTATTTCGGGTAATTAAACTTTAGAACTTGATTTTTTTCCCAGGTACCGTGACCACAACTACTTTTGGGTACCCGTGCTTGGACCTCACCTGGGTGGTGTTATTGGTGCCTACATCTACCAATTATGTGTTGGATTTCACTGGCCAGTAGAGGATCAAGACTCGAGCCCGGTACCCGTTAATCAAAAGCCAGAAGCACCGGGCTACGATGGACCGTATAATCCAAATACTCATATGTGAAAAACAAAATGACACAAAATAGCTTTTTTCTGTAAAGAAACCGACACTCATCGTACACTTTCATGTCCTTGGAACCTTTCAGTGAGACTATGTCAGTATCGCTTTGAGGACGATCGAAAGCAGGACAAAATGATATGAACAAATGTGGCATACTAAGTTGAAACAAGGACTTCTGTTTGTACATATAATTTTGACGGACGACTTTTATTTATCCAGTTAATACCTAAATGGCATTATTAGTGGTAAAACGTGTAGTAAGAAAATTTTAGAAAAACTAAAGAAAACGGGTAAATTCAGATATCAAATGCAAAATTGAGAAATTTGAAGCAATTCTTTAGAATACAGTAATATGCACAAATACAGTCGACTCCGCTTATTACAAACTCGCTTAAAACGAATTATCGTTAATAGCGAACAAAATCTGAAACCCTCGGCCGATTCCCGTATACTAAATCACTTCGCTTAATACGTACTCACTAATACCGATTACACCTGTGACATATATGGCATTTTTTCACGGCACATTTGCCCACCCAAACAAGTCAACGAAAGTTGTTGCTACATCGCTTTTAGCGAACTTTGGATATAACGAACGCTATTTTAATCTCCCATTGAGTTCGGTATAAGCGGAGTCGACTGTATCATCGAAATTTCATTTCAAGAGTGTGTAGTTTGATTCAATAAGAAACTCATTGGTTATAAATATGTAATAATAAATATATATACATGTATTAAAAACCTTTTTTTTACGCTCGATTATAGGACACCTACACCGACAAATGTATACATGGATCATGACAACTCTAAAGAAATACTGGTGATGATTCATTTCACACATGCCCCTCTAGGTAGAACCGTCGAGCTAATAACGTATGTTAAACTCGAAAGCAAAATTAACGTCACTTGTTAGAATCACGGCTAAATGTAATTAAAAATCCTTGTTAGAATTATACAATTGAACGTATGAAAAGCGCAGGACCATATTTTTGGTTGTCAAGATCATATGGCGACTTTGCAGGTTCATTGGTGGAGATTAACGCAAGGTGCATTATTTCAGACACGAACGGGAAACTCACAAGTAGAACCATAGGTGTTCAGTAGGCTAGCTTCTGCACATAAAAGATTCTGAAGTTTCGGACAGGATTCGAACCCAAAGCGGCGTGTGGCAAGTGGTTTGAAGTCAACGGTCTTTCAACTACTCAGCCACAGACGCCTAAGGAAAATCACAATGATAAAGAAACAATAACAAAATATGAATTGCGTGTGCAAAAATAATTTAATTTAAAAAGATTTAGCACATAACCTTAGCACTTTAAATGACGCTTTCTCTACCTTTCTATACAATAAAATACATGTAACTTCTATCATAATTCAGCAAGTCTTTAAAATTATCAAAATTTGACCTATTTAAACAATTTATATGTATTATAAAATGAAAATAGGTAGATATTGTTACCAAGCTCGAGTGAATAGTAAACTTTTGATATAGGATTTAATGAAGTAAAATCAAATCATTCAAATTCATCAAATTTTAGCCATATTTGACACAGTACCAGCAAAACTTCATTTTTGCCTTGATTTTCTCTATTTGACCAGCAAAACTTCATTTTTGCTTTGATTTTTTCTATTTGACCAGTAAAACTTCATTTTTGCCTCGATTTTCTCTATTTGACCAGCAAAACTTCATTTTTGCCTTGATTTTTCTCAAATATCTCAAAACTGAACAGTGAACCTCTTTAACCAAATACACTTATCACATTTACCATTTAAATATCACATAGGTACGAAATATGAGTGGCTTATTTATCCATTTCACTTTAACACTTTATCCTGATGAATAAAACGGGCTAGTCTTAGTTTAGAACACTTTATTTAAGGTTCATTATGCCTTAGAAATGCTATAATGTTTATTTCTCAAACACTTTTTTTTATTTCTGGTATCTTGTCACATTTCCAAAATAAATATTCACTTGCGATACAAATGTCTTGGCTATTTTGCTCTGTTGGCAAATTGTATTTTTTTTAGTGAATTAGTTTTTTTGTATGGAAGTAAAAATACTACTTTGTTTACATTTTGCTACCTTTACAACACATCTCTGCATATAAGCTATTTTTTAGCTGTTGAATATTCTACATTCTTCAAATGTACTAATAAAACATTATTTTACATATGTTTAGCATATCTAAAGAATGAAGAAAATATAGATTTCTGAGGCATAATGTGCCATAAATTTCTCTGTCAGTATGATAATTAGTGTAATCTGTAAATTATCAATCAGCAAGATAATTGTATTTTCTGTACATTGATAGATCAATAAGATTATGGATCTTTGTTCTTTCTAAAATATTGTCTCACTAATGACACCATAGTCATATATAATATATTAAAACCATTCTGAATATAATTCATTTGTGACCTTAAAAAACGGTTTTTTACTAGAATTAGTTTTTGTTTGTGCAAGTAAGAAAGTACTAATTAATGTATTCTTTTAAGGTACTTAGATAAAATTCATAAGAAATTACATGTAATAAGGCATGGAACAGCTGGGAATTGTGTTGCTTTAGCAATAAAAACAATGCAAAAACTAGAAATGTGTCCATTGGACATACATAATTATGCTCCTGCACTCCACTATTCTGTCAGTCTTCATACGGACGGGCAGACAGCAGGACTATGTGACAGACAAGGGCAAATCAGTATACCACCCCTACCCCCACTCACACTCAGTAAAGGCATCATGGGATACCCACGGCCAAACCATTAACAGTGATTACATGTTTTGTTACATGTTAATTAATAGACCGTGGGTATTTGCCAATGAAGTAGTGGGGGGCATAAAAATATTTTATTATGAACAGTGCAATGACAAATGATATTTATAGGAACGGTTGAAACACTCTACAAACCACAGACAAACCTGTGTAATAAGACCACTCATTAACACAAGACCACCTGTATTACCTAGATGGTTTTATTTCATAATTTTAACAATTAAATCTTTTGTTGGCAGAGGTGTAGTTGTTTTATTTTAATGATAATACATGTACACAGTTGACCTAGCAATGAAAAGAAAATAAGGGACTACATTTTTCACTGCTAAAAATTGGAAAGGTTTATTTACAGAATGTCAAAAAAAAACCACCATTTATTAGGTCTTGAATGGGCTGACTTTAACAGGTTTGACCGTACATTCTAAAGAGGTAGCTGTGTGTACTTTAAGCTAACATTAGGCAACATTTTAATGAAAACATGATCTAAAAAAACATTTTAGCATACTTGAACAAAATTTGTATATTTATAAACTGTTATATTATTAATATTTATTGCTATTTTGACATAACTATTGCTGTATACAGTACCATACATATATATATATAACAGTGCCAGTTAGGAAATTTACCCCAAACCCCCTAAATCGTAAAAAGATTTGCAAAGCCTAAATTTTGGAAAAATCTTAAAAGCGGATTTAAACTTTTTAAAGCAAAGGGCCAGTGGTAACGACCGTAGCATAAAACAATTATATTATATAGGCAGGTATCAATATATATTATGCCATCAATAAAGTGCATGATCAGTCAGAAACTTGGTCGATAACAATGAACCTAATGATGCTAAAATTTAGTTTTTTTCAGGATCAATATCTTTATTATCCCTTAAATTGACAGTGGACAATTCCAAATTCAAAGCTTGACAAGTTCATTACACAAATTAAGGGGGGTTAAAGGGCAAAAGTAAGTAAACAGCTGTATGACAAGACTAGAGGGAAAAAAATCTTTAGTTTGCAAGTATCAAAAACAGAAAAAATATAACAAACACTTGGTATATGTGTATGACTATGCCTAATTAACAAAAAAGTATTTTTTCTTACATTGTTACCATGGAAATACATTCTAAGATTTATACATCTACAAAATTTCATTATTGTCTATTTGTGTCCAAGCGTTTAATTGTAACAGCCACCGGAAAATCTTTGCACCACCGGGATAGTGGCAAACTTCACTACCATTTATAATTGCCCTAAACACTTAAAAATCATTTCATCTGATAGATTTAATGTTAATTATAAATAATTGACTTCATTTGAAACTATTTTAAATTTTTTTCTTATCAAAAATTGTATTTTAAAAAAAAATTCCGGGCGGAAATTCATGTATTCCGCCCGGAATTATGCTGTCCGGCCGGAATTTACTTATTTTCCAATTGGAATTTTTTCCAACATTATTATTTATTCCAACGGGAATTTCAATTTTTCCAGCAATGCTTAAACTATAAAAATAACCATTCATACATAATTTAATAACTTTCTGACTAGTTTTGAAGAACTTATTCTCTAAAATAAAAAAATCCCATTTTGAAAGCTGGAAAAAATTCCGACTGGATTTTTACAGAAAAAAATTAAAAAAGCATAAAAGCGATAATAATTAAAGGCAATGATAGTTTTCGATAGAAATTAACATAATTATACACCCTGAATTACCAATAAGGTGCTTTGAAAAAAATGAAAATCCGATTGGATTTATTTCCAATTATTTTTGTTGGAAAAAATTCCAACTGGATTTTTTTCCAATAAAAGTTATTGGAAAAAAAATCCAACTGGATTTTCATCAAATGATTCATTTTCAAATTATTTTACAGTTATACATTTGATTTTCTTTTAA